TACTTCAAATCAAATAAATAATAATATTAACAATAACAACAATGATAGAATAATAATATAAGAAAATACAATAACAATGAAATAATAAGTAATTGAATAATTAAGTAATAGATTGATAGTAAAATAATTAGAATACTTTTAATTTTACTATGTATTAAGTTAATAGAATTATCTAAAATAAAACCTATTACTATTTATATTGTTAACTAAGACTGTCTAGTTCTACTATCCGAAATTTCGGCAGCACCTCCCCTAAAAAAATTGGGCTATTTACCATACTCAAATATCACAAATAATATATTATTAAAATCAATTCAATGCAACACAGCCCATCCTCGGCCGATCAAAAAACAGTTAAATTTTTCCCTTCCTCCATCCAAATAATAATGGTCAACATTTCAACTATTAATTCACACTTATAATAAATCTTCAAACAGGTTCCAATAATATGAAGGAGAGGGAAGAAAAAAAAAGAAAAAAAAAGGGAGAAAAGAAAAGAAAGAAAAATCTTGGGCTTCTAGACGCAATTCCGGTTCGATTCGAACCGGTTTGGTCTAATTCCTATGATTTGGCTCAATTAGCTTGGTTTTCGAAAAATCAATTGGTTTAACCGGGTCTAGTTTAGCAAAATAAAACCACTAGCTGGTGTAATCTTATTTGGTTGAAATAAAATTTATTTTTAAAATGAAAAATTCTATGAAAATTAAATTTTCGGATGTTCACTAAGTTTTTCTTTAGCTTGGACTAGGAGGCAAGCTAATAATGTTTGCTCACCAATCTATGCTAGATTAGTAAGAAGCTCGTTTACTTTCTGAATTTAGAAATAGGAGGCTTCTATCTCTAAAAAAAAAAAAAAAAAAAAATTAAATATATAATGGTTTTTACCATAGTTGATAATAAAAAACGTTGCCTACAATAATCAACATTAAACTAATGGAAAGTTTAATTAATACATTATCTAGGCACAAAAAACTATAATCTATAATAATAACTGGTAGACTAAATCTTTTTTTTTTTTTTTGCCTAACTACAAAACTTTACCCACTATAATTTTAAAATATATATATCATTGCTAAATAGGAAAGCCTTATTTAATAAAATAATCAAATAAATAAATGAATTTATAATAAATTTAGGATATTGGTATTTTGGCCTTCTTATTCATTCTTTATTTTATTCATTCCATTATTCCTATCAATCAAACACATGAATGTAACTTGAATTCATATTATGGTCTTGTTCGGCATCAGTTTTTATGTAGCATTTAGTGTTGTGACTTAATCAAAATACTATCTTTATTATTTATAATTTTCAATGGGTAACATTTATATTATTAGTATTTAAGATTTGAGAAAGCAAATTATGAAAAATTATTCTCTGTAACGCTTGATGAAATACTAGTTAAACAACTAATAATTATTAGAACAACTAATAACTATTAGAATAATTAATAGATATTAAAACAATTAATTCTATTGAATAAAATATACATGATGCATACTAAACACAATAATAGGAATTATATTCCCTAAAGAAAGTCATTTTCTTAAAAAGGTATATTTTAAGTTAAGTTATTATATTTTGAGTGAAATAAAATTTTTTTTAGAAAAGTAAAAAAATTAACTATATTGTTGTTATTATATGTTTTAAAAAGATATTCTACTTTTGGTAAGAATTCAATTTTTTAACAGACGATGAGAAAGTAGAAATTGATCATTAATTAAACTTTCTTGACAATATAAAATTTCTATATCAACTAAATATTAAATCCTACTTTTAAAAAAAAAAACTTTTTAATGATATTAATTGAACAACTAAATGCCACCTACAGAAAATGCTTTCACTATATAGATAAGAGGTGGATATTATTAATAACCTATGTGTGAGACTTGAAAAAAAAAAAAAATTTATTAAGACAGTCAACTACTCAACTTGTTCTTGACACACAAGAAGCTCATAGTGAGCAAGAAAATAACTGACTCGGTGTTGGATCTGTGAACACATTTTAATTTTTTATTCTCTTTTTATTTTTTCATACACGTTTATCATTTCAAAATTCAAAAAATAATGCGAATAAGTATATATAAACTGAGGACAAATTTACATCAATTGGCATTTTTACAAAATTTAGAAATAATGTTATAGTAACAGTCGACAAACAGAACTGTAATCATAAAAATGTGAATATATATTAATAACAAGCATAAAGTTATGAAAATATATGAATGCATTGTATAAGTAAGCACATAAATATATTTATAAAGTACACCACAAACAACTAAATTGTGAACATATTCTAAGAAAACCGATACACTGTACATCAATCCATAAACAAACTTAAAATTGATTGTTGCATTGTTACCGTTGCTTCCTTAACAATTCACATATTAAATTTAAGTAAATCCATCTATTTACTTTAAGTAAAAAAATTTATGGTATTGTTAACTTTTAATTCAAGCCATTAAATACTTTAATTTACATAAATTTTTTATTGAATAATCCAACTCATACGACAAATCAATTAAACACTTATTGAGTATAACTAAAAAATGTGAAAATCATTATTTTAAAAATTATAATAATTATCTATTAAATAAGTATTTTGCATATACAAATTAAAAACACTCAAAAAAAAAAAAATATTAGTAATATATAGATGTGTATAATATTACTAAAATTCATACTTTAAGAATGCAATAGCTCCCTATAAAGTTAAAAGTGCCACAAACATAAAACTTTAATGTTTTGATAAATCTATGCATTATGCCTTTTATGTTACATTCAAACTCAAGGGATGAATCCAGCCATTTGCCTAAAAAAAATAAGTGTGTTAAGGTTGGGTGCTTAAACTGAAAAGCACCTTGACACGTCCAAACTAGTTAGGACAAGAACTTTCCTGAAGCCTATAGAAGAGAGTTGTGTTCCTTTTTGTTAAGTGCGAGCCAAGCTTGGCTTCATTACTGTGCCGTAATTAATGTTCAAGATCACCGGGACTTCAATAAAATGTTCGTTGTGGGCTGAAATTTTTGAGTTTTTTTTTTTTTTTTTTTTTTTTTTTTTTTTTTTTAAGCGTTTACTCATAACCTTTCTTAAAGTATTTATATTTTATTCATAGAGTATTATTTATATTATTTAACTCAAATTTGACCCAAGTTTAATTTGAGATAAAAAAAAAAATCAAATTATACAAACAAAAAGTCATATTTTTTATGATGAAATACATAAAAATATATTGTTTTTAATAAAACAAATATGTTGTGAAAGAAAAAATTAATGGGGTAGTAATATTTTCTATTTACTTAGACTGCATAAATTGTGATGAATGATTCATTTTCTCTTTAGATGAGCTAAGGAATTTTTTTTTTTTTTTGAAGAGGAGGAAGGAATTATTGTATCTAAAATTATTTTTCTCTATGCAAATCATAACGTCCACATGTATATGTTTTATATAAAAATTATTTTGCAGATAACAAAAATATTCTTTTTAAAAGAATAAAAGATTCAATAATGCCCCTTTTCTACCCAATTTGTATATCAATAATTCTTCAAAAGAAATATATATATATACACACACACACGCAACTTTTTAAATACAAATCAAAAGAAATCACAACAACCGAATTTCTTTTTTCATTAGATAAATTTCTTTTTGTACTAGATAAAGTCTATTAATTAATCTTTCTAAATAACTAACCACTAAAATGTATTTTAAAATACCAACGATGTTATTTAATATGTTTCTCTTTAAAAATTCTTTAAAAATTCTTATATATATATAATATATTATATATACATATATTGAAAAATATACATATATTGGAAAAATATTTTCGAAATAAAGTAATTTTTTTCATGATTCTCTCTATTTTAATCTAAAAAAAACTTTACTGAAATGTAAGCTTCAAATAAGTGTAAACTTTCAATATTTTTTAGAATTTAAGTTTAAATTTTTATAGAAAATAATTAAATGAAATTGATATTATATTTAAATGGAATTTTTAGGATAAAATTAGGACAAATTACTAGGTAAAAATACTAATTAAGTTTTCCTTTTAAATTATTAGGTAAAAATGCTAGTCTCATGAAAAACGGCTAAATGGATGGATTTATCTTTGTATTTTTACGTCCAATCTCATGCAAATTGCCGAATGTATAAATTAATTGATGTAATTCTTGAAAAACATTTTATGACTCGCAATTTTTATTTTAACCTCTCAAAACACTTCAAACTGTAAAACTTTAACTATTAAATACTTTAACTTATAAATATTATTTCATTTAATATTTAAATTTATAAAATTAAATTAATTAAATATTTATTAAATAATTAAAATAATTAAAATTATTATTTTAAGAGTTATACTAACTAAATATAACTCAATAAATTATATATAAAAATTAAAAATATTAAAAAATTATTATTGTTGTTGTAGAGATGTGTATAATGTTTTTAAAATTTATAATTAAGGCATAACAGGTCTTTTATAAAGTTTTGGCTATTATAATATTTTCTCTTAAAGTATAAGATGTAATTTATGTTATTTTATAAAAAATAGACCTAGTTTTAAATAAATAAATAAATAAAATGAAATAAACATAATTAAATTATTTGATAAAGATAAACATTGTATAGGAATATTATAGAACAATATAAGAATTATCATCTTTTAGAAAGAAAAACATGGGTGAGAAAGGAAAATCTAGCTATGAGTTCAAAAAAAAAAAAAAAAAAAAGAAAAAAAAAAAGGAGAAGTGAGGCTTTTTTTTTTCTTTTTTATGGGAAAAAGAGTAACTGAAGCCGGCCGGTAATTAGACGGAACAAGTGGTAAAAAAAAAAAAAAAAAAAAAGGAAGTGAGGCTTTTTTTTTCTTTTTTATGGGAAAAAGAGTAACTGAAGGCGGTAATAGACGACAAGTGGTATTTTCGTAAATAAATAAAAATGTAGGGTTTAAAGATACCAAGACATAAAATATATTCCCTAAATAGACAAATCCCTACACCTAAGCATTAGCTCTCACTGTTACTCTTAAACTTCTCAACCCGTAAGAGCCACCCGTCGTCTTTTTTCTTAGAATAACAATTTTTCTGCATTCGAATTTCAAACACAACTAATGCAACTCCATTTTTAACAGTACACGCGTCTGCAAACTTTCTCCTAAAAAAACCAATTATCCAGATTTTCTCGGATACCAAACACCTACCACATTCCCAGGAAAGTTGGTTTTCTTACTTTTTACAGACTTTCTTCATCTTTATCACTTGATTTACACTTACAGAGGACAGCGGCAACAGTAGCAGCAAGAACAACAAGCACTAGTAATCCATTTTATTTTAGAAGATCAATGATGGCCATTAATTCTACCGACCGTAAAGATGTTGTTCTCAAAGTGTCCGGTGAAAATGATCCGGCTGCTAAAAACGTCGAACACGGTAAGATTTGGAGAGAGTCGAGTTACGATTTTTGGAGTGATAAAGAGAAAGAAGAAAGGATATTGAATAATGGTTTTGATTTTTCTCAAGGTAATAATAATAATGTTACTTCTACTTCTAGTACTGTTGCTGGTAGTTCAGCTACTACTTCATCGTCGGCGGAGGATCCACCTTCGAAGCTAATTGGTGAGTTTTTACATAAACAACAAGCTTCAGGTGATTTTTGTCTAGATATGGATTTAGAGATGGACGAGCTTCAAAACGATACGGTTTTACTTCACCGGAATTTGGCGCCAGTTTCAGAGTCTCCGACAACACTGAACCGGGTCGCTTTTGACCCGAACCCACCTGGGTCAAGTGACTCAGTTAGGAGAAGGCATCAGCATAAAGATTCGCCTAGCAAGATGAGTAATGATAGCACTGGCGGTGATGGGGAGGTTTTGAAGTGTAATTCAAGAAACAGCGCAAATTTGTCAAATAGTTCGTCTTTTAAGAGAAAGTCGCATTTGTTGAAGGAGAGGACAAAGTCAAGATTAATGGACCTACCTCCATTGCCTCCTGAAAAATCTGGGAGAGTTGTTGGAAGATCAGGGCAATTGAAGTCTGGATTTATAGGGAAAGGCAATGTGGTTGAAGATGAAGAAGATGATCCTTTGTTGGAGGAAGATTTACCTGAGGAGTTCAAGAAAGATAGATTTGATATATGGATTTTGCTTCAGTGGGTTAGTTTGATTTTAATTATTGCTGCTTTAGTATGTAGTCTTGTTGTTCCATATTTGAAACAGAAAAGTTTATGGGAACTTAGTTTGTGGAAATGGGATTTGTTGGTTTTGGTTTTAATATGTGGGAGATTGGTTTCTGGTTGGGTCATAAGGATTATTGTGTTCTTTATTGAAAGAAATTTTCTTTTGAGAAAACGGGTTTTGTACTTTGTATATGGGATCAAGAAGGCTGTGCAGAATTGCTTGTGGTTGGGGCTTGTGTTAATTGCTTGGCATTATATTTTTGACAAGAAAGTTGAAAGGGAAACCAGAAGCAAAACACTTAGATATGTGACCAAGGTTTTGGTTTGTTTCCTAGTGGGTACGTTGATTTGGCTTGTCAAGACTCTTGTAGTTAAGGTTCTTGCGTCTTCTTTTCACGTTAGTACTTACTTTGACCGGATTCAGGAGTCCTTATTTAATCAATATGTTATTGAAACGCTTTCTGGTCCTCCCCTAGTTGAAATAAAAAGAAGCGAGGAAGAGGAAGAGAGAATTGCAGCTGAGGTACAGAAGTTACAGAATGCAGGTGCTACTGTGCCCCTTGGCCTTAGGGGAGCTGGCCTTAAAAGAACTGCCTCCCCTGAACCACAGGGTGCGAGAGTTATAGGAAGCGGGCGGATGCAGAAGAGCCCTCGAATTGGTACCCCCAGGCTCTCTGCTTCTCTTTCCAAGGAGGCCAATGAGGGGGATGATGGGATAACTATTGATCACTTGCACAAATTGAATCCAAAGAATGTTTCTGCCTGGAATATGAAGAGGCTGATGAACATAATTCGACATGGCACTCTGGCCACGTTGGATGAGCAGATTCGAGAGTCTAGTCATGATGATGATGAGTCAGCTACAAAAATTAGAAGTGAATATGAAGCAAAAGCTGCAGCGAGGAAAATATTCCAGAATGTGGCTAAGCCAGGGTCTCGGTAGGTTCTTATTTCTATCCCATGTTCATCATTTTTTGCCATGTTTAATTATGTGTATAGTTTCTTATTTCTATCCCATTTTCATCATTTTTAGTCATTAATTATATGTGTAGTTCCTAATCTTTATAATATTTAAGATGTGCAATGCAGTGATTTTAATTACTAGTGGTTTATTTTAGTATTTTGCTTTGCGTTATGATGTAATTATGTTTCTTTTTGCAAATTGAACTCTGTTATATTTGATGTCATTTGTATCTATATCTTATTGGGTATTGCTTTTTTTATCCCTGTTTCTTTGTTGTTCAAGGGATGTAATCAAATAAAGGCATGTTCAACTAAGTATTGTTATATTCAATTTTAATTTAAAAAATAATCTAATGCGTGCAAAATGTAGTAAATCTTTTAGAATAAGGGTTGAGAAATGCATGCATTCTGAAAGTGAGATTTTTAATGTGTTTATGATGACAGTTCTACAGTGAACAATAGCACAATTTACTCCATTATTATGTTTCTAGTCTATGTGTTGTGACATATGTCTTAGTTGAGTGACTTTGTAATGAATTAATTCACTGGTCATAATTTTCACCTAGGACTGAGTTTTTGTTCTTATTTTCCTGTGCAGTTATATCTACCTGGAAGACATCATGCGTTTCATGCAAGATGATGAGGCTATAAAGACCATGGGTCTTTTTGAAGGAGCATCTGAAAGCAAGAAAATTAGCAAGAAATGTTTGAAAAACTGGGTGGTAAGGACCCATTGACTTGTTCATTTTCATTTTGTCTTTTCTCTTTTTGAAAATTTGATATATGTGGGTTCTTTTGTGCATGTATTCTACCACTTAATACTTTGATGCTTGATTATTTCAGGTTAATGCTTTTAGAGAGCGGAGAGCACTTGCTTTAACATTGAATGATACAAAAACGGCTGTGAATAAGTTGCACCGCATGGTGAACATTTTGGTTGCAATCCTTATAGGTGTTATTTGGCTTCTTATATTAGGAATTGCCACTACCAAATTTCTTGTCTTTATAAGCTCCCAGCTCCTTCTTGTGGCATTTATTTTTGGAAACACCTGCAAAACAGTATTTGAAGCCATTATATTCTTGTTTGTGATTCATCCATTTGATGTGGGTGATCGCTGTGAAATCGATGGAGTTCAGGTATATAAACCAACATGGGAACTGTGCATCTCTATTTTCTGTGCCTTCATCATCGTGGAAGTTTTTGGTACCAGTTTTTGATATATCTAATTTATTTCTCAACAAATTTCAGATGGTAGTAGAAGAGATGAACATTTTAACTACTGTTTTCTTAAGATACGACAACCAGAGGATTGTAATTGCTAATAGCGTTCTCGCTACCAAAGCCATCAGTAACTACTACCGTAGTCCGGACATGGGAGATGCTGTGGAGTTCGTCGTACACATAGCTACACCAGCTGAAAAGATTGCAGCCATGAAACAACGAATAAATAGGTAAGTACAGATGGAACTTTATTGTTCTTCCCCTCAATTTATCATTTCTTTTATGCTGCTTATTGGTGTACACGGGAGCTTTAATATAGACAAAATAGAATTTTATCTGTTAAAACTAAATTTTCTTCTCTCTCGCAATGCTGTTATTGCCTTAATTAGTTGTTTGATATTGAATTCTGCAAAATTTTGTAGAAGTTATTTGGAGTTTCATGTTATATCATTACTAAATTAATTACATGATTCAAATTCATTTATACCAAACAAGGGGTAGAAGTGCATAGGGTTTTTGGATGGCAGATGGCTCAAATTGTATCTCATCAGATTAAATGTTCATTGGCATACTCAAGTTCATACTCGTTATCGGGTAACTATTGGCCATGGATGATAAACTAAAGATATGAACGCATTATACATGCATTGAACACATGGACATAAGCAAGAGTCTTCGGTTTTTAATGGCATTTGCTAAGTAATTGCTGTTTCTAGTACATCTATTTTTGTGTCTTCTAATGTAGGCATAGCTGCAAAACACCTTGAATATGTTGCTTCATTGAATTACATTATAAAGCCAAACTTATCTTTGCATTTTCCAATGCAGTTATATTGAAAACAAGGACCACTGGTATCCTTCACCTATGATCATATTTAAGGATATCGAAGATCTGAATCGGGTGCGAATAGCAATATGGTTGACCCACAGAATGAACCACCAAGACATGGGAGAGAGGTGGTCAAGACGTGCCCTTTTAGTTGAAGAGATGGTTAAGATTTTCCGGGAGCTCGACATTCAGTACCGCCTCCTTCCTATTGACATCAATGTTCGTACATTACCTCCTGTATCGTCGGATCGTGTTCCTCCTAGTTGGATGATTTGAGAGTGAATGTACAAAGAGCTAGTGTAGGAGTGTCTTTTGGGTCATGAATTTTTTTTTTTTTTTTGGAGTTAATAATAGGCTGAATACATAATTTAATTCCTAAAGTTTAATGAAAAAGTTTTGTGGCACTTGAACTTTAAAATCGACTTTGTGGTTAAAGTATTTGGAGAAGTTGTTTTCTCATTATGTGTGAGTGTGTTTATATATATAGAAAGAGATAAGAGACCTATCTAAACAGCTATACAAAAGTGTACAAGCCTATCAATATCTAATTACAAAACAATATTCTGTTTCACAATGATTATCTAATACACCCCCGCAAGATTGCAGGACGTTGAGCAATGCCAATCTTGGACCGCAAACGAAGAAACTCACGACTTGACATCGCCTTAGTCAGTAGATCAGCCAGTTGATCCTTGGATGAAACATGAGAAACACGCAGCGTGCCTTGTTGAACTTGAGTGCGAACAAAATGATAATCAATTGCTATGTGTTTCATGCGCGAATGAAATACTGGATTTGCTGCAACATAAGTTACACCCAAATTGTCACAATAAATCACTGGCACTTCCTCTATTATTTGATGCAACATAAGTTGCACCCAAATTGTCACAATAAATCACTGGCACTTCCTCTATTATTTGATGCAACTCTTGGAGTAAGTTTTTAATCCAGATTACCTCAGCAGAAGTAGTAGCAAGCGATCGATATTCCGCTTCTGTTGAGGAGCGAGCTACAGTTCTTTGTTTCTTAGAAGCCCAAGCAACCAGATTTTTACCCAGAAGATAAATGATATGTGCACTGGTTGAGGTTCTATCATCACAGTTCCCCGCCCAATCCGCATCAGAAAATGCGTGTAACACACCCTTGCTATTTTTGTGTAGAAATAATCCATGATCAAAGGTGCCAATTAAATAACGCAATAGCCGTTTAGCTGCTGTCCAGTAGTTTTCAGTTGGTCGAGTAGTGAATTGGGACAGCTTATCTACAACATATGCAATATCTGGTCTTGTTAATAACAAGTACTGAATACCCCCAATCAGTGTGCGGTATATAGAAGCATCGGTTATATGTGCCGAATCATCTAAAGAAAAGGTCACTGATGGTGCCATTGGGGAAGAAATGGAATTCACACATCCATTTTCACTTTTTCCAACAGCTCTCGAATGTAATTTTGTTGGTTCAAGAATAACCCATTAGGTGTTCAAACAACCTCAACACCAAGGAAATAGCTCAACTCGCCCAAATCCTTAATAGAGAATCGATTTCCTAGAGCTGAAATAAATTTCTCAACCTGTAAATCATTGCTCCCTGTGACAATTATGTCATCAACATATACAAGAATATATAGGAGATGACTTCTTCCTTACCAGAATTGAATAAAATAACAGTGTCTGAGTGAGTCTGAACAAACCCAGCAGAAAGAAGAAATGATTTGAGGTCAGATACCATTATTCGTGGCGCTTGCTTCAGCCCATACAAGGATTTCTCATCGACCAAACGAAAATTGGGTGCCTTTTCATCTACAAAAACCCGTTCGGCTGCGTCCCATATAAAAGTTTCAGTGAAGTCGACCATGTAAGAATAAGAATGCATTATTTACATCCACTTGCCTTAATTTCCAGCCTTTCGTTACTGCAATTGATAGTACTACTCGAATAGTTGGATGTTTTGCCACTGGAGAGAAGGTTTGATCGAAATCCACACCAGGTCTTTGAGTGAATCCCCGTGCAACAAGTCTTGCTTTATACCTGATTGGATTACCCGCAGATTCATATTTGATTCTAAATAACCATTTACAACTGACCACATTGGATGCTTCAGACGGGTGGGGTGAACAAGTTTCCAGGTTTGTTGTTTCATTAAAGCCGAATATTCCTCCTCCATGGCATGTCTCCACTTCGGTTCTTTTAACGCCTGAGCTACAGTTTTCGGAACCCATAACTTAGGAGCAGCAACTGTTGAAAGACATAGTCGATTTACTGGTTTCACAATATTGTTCTTACTCCTAGTTATCATGTGATGTGTGGAATGAGCTGCATTCTCATCAACAGCAGCCTCTATTTGACCATGTGTACCACCAATCTGATTATCACTAACAACCACAAAGTCATTTGTAGATTCAAAATTAGAATCCATACCTGAACTATCTTGAGCCATGTTGTTTCTTGGTGAAGAAGACGTTGCAGTAGAAGCCGTTGCTTGTGGCGAGAGAACCTCAGATGGTGTAGATTCATGGACCTGTAAAACGTTAGAACTAGGAATAATAAAATGACTTGGGGACCATTTATCAATAATTTCAGTCGACGGACGTTCCAATTTAGACTCAAGAGAGGAAGGGAGTTGTGCTCAACATCCACATTGTCTAGAGCAAATATTAAACTTTAGAGGTTTGGGGATCGAACATTGTATACGTACTTTGATTGAGAGTATCAAGAAGACACCCATGGAACTGACTTGTTGCTTTGCTGTAATTTATTGGTATTGTATGGTCTGATCCAGGGATAACAGAGACACCCAAAGACTTTGAGTTTAGTATAATTTGGTTGGCGACGATGTAGACAATAGAAAGGAGAGTCATTTTTCAGAATTTTTATGGGCATTCTATTAATTAAATAAGTTGCTGTTTGAAAAGCATAAGACCAAAAATGCAAAGGCAAATTGTCTAGATGAAGCATTGTTAGTCCAGTTTCAACAATATATCGATGTCGACGTTCCGCAATTGCATTGTGTTCTGGAGTGTATGGCGGAGTAAGAAAGTGTGAAATGCCATTCTCCTGTAGATAGGATTTTAAATGAATAAATTCTCCTCCATTGTCCGAATAAAGGGAAACAATTTTCCTACCAAAATAATTTTCAACTAGTTTCTTAAATTGAGGAAAAATAATCGAAACATCTGATTTTCTTTTGGCAGGAAACAACCAAGCATATTTTGTGAAATGATCAACAAAAAGCACATAATATTTAAATATTTAAACCCATCAATTGAAAAGGAACTTGAGCTGGACCCAAACGTCTGAATATTAAAACTAGTTCCAAAGGAGCAAAACTTCTACATTGAGTTCCACTATACGTGCCTTTATGCATGCATTTTATTACATTTGCAAGAATCACAAAAGAACTTAGACTCAACAATAGAAGTGGATGACACATTAAGATGATTGAAAATTAAACGCATAATTTGAGTAGTAGGGTGACCAAGACGCCTATGCCATAAAGGGTGAAAAGTGACCAACATGTGTGAAACAGATGGTTGCACTCGCGGAGAAAACATCTTTGGCCATTCATAAACACCATCATTCGGTTTTCCATCCGCTAGCAAAGCCCCCGTGCACATGTCCTTCACAGTAAACAGAAAAGGGTTAAAAGATACCTCAACATTATTAGACACATAGAATTGGTAAACCGAAATAAGGTTCTTATTCAATCCGGGCACACATAACACATTATTCAGTTTCAAAGGATGTAACAAAGTGTTTAAAGAAACAGTGCCAGTATGAGATATAGAATATCGATTACCATCACTTAGAACCACATGATTACCATCACTTAGAACCACATCATCAGTACCATCATAGTCTGAATGCAGAGACAGATTATTCAAGTCTTGGGTAACATGCTGGTTAGCCCCAGAATCCATTATCCACGCTGTCTCAGATGCACCAACAGCAACTTGATTAACATGTGGTTTCATATTTGTCGAATTGAACAATAAAGGACACAGTTTCTTGAGTTTCCAGCACTTCTTGACAACATGTCTTGGGCATTCACAAAACTGACAAACCACTTGAGAGCGAGAACCAGTCTTTTGATTCGGCAACAGTCCATTACTGCGATTTTTTTGCGCAGAAACAGACCCACCTCTGTTGATAAAATGAACTGTAGTTGGTCCACTTAATTTCACAGAATCTCTCTCAATCTGAAGCTCATAATCTGTCAATTTTTCATGTAACTCCTCGAATGTAATCGGTCGAATGTAATCGGTGTATCTCTTGCTCTCAGAGCTGCCGCCAATTGTTTGTATTCTGATGGCAATCCATGGAGAGCGTAGAGCACCACCTCAGGCATAGAGATTAGAATATCTGCCTTTGCCAAAACAGACACAATTGCTTTAATTTTCTGCAAATATTCATTAATGGTTAACGCACCTTTTTGAATGGTAATCAAAGATTCACGCAAACTCATCACACGAGATTGCAACGGCTTGGCATAAGTATTAGCCAGCGTTTTCCACACATCATACGATGTCTTTTCCCCAACAACATAAGGAACAATGTCAGCAGACAGAGAAGCCACGAGAGCACTACGAAGCAGCTGATCTTGTCGAGTCCAGTAGGAGTCCACACGTTGTTCAGCAGAAAGTGGTTCCTCTACAAACCTCATGAAATCATATCCCACCAACAAAGAGTCCCATTATGTATGCCAGGACATATAATTGTCGCTAGTGAGTTTGATCGGCACCTGAGCCGTGGTGTTAATGGATATGAGTTGATTAGTATTAGTGATAGTAATATTTGAAGGTGGTTGAAGGACAGATGGAGTCCGTGAAGAAGTATCATCTCCCATGGTTTCAAAATGGTTTCAAAAAGAAGATTGAAAAATCAAAAAAAAAAAAAATATTGCCGTTTGACTATACAGCTCTGGATACCATTAAAGTATTAGTATTGCCGAGAAGGTTGTTGTTGTTGTTGTTTTCTCATTATGTGTAAGTGTGCTTACATACAGAAAGAGATAAGAGAGAGACCTATCTAAACAGCTATACAAAAGTGTACAAGCCTATCAATATCTAGTTACAAAATAATATTCTGTTTCACAATGATTATCTAATAGTGGTATCCCGAACTTCTCTTTTTGTAATTACGCTAGAAACAACAAATGTTTAATGTTGTAGCTTTTATATGTAAAATATTGGTTTTTGATATGAAATTAATACAACTTTTAAAATAATAATTTTTATATTTTTTAATAATTCAATAAGTGTTTAATCGATCTAATTTTATAATTGAGATGTTTAATAGATTAATTAAAATGTTTATTAAATGTAATTTTTATGTGATTTTATAAGATGAAGTGTTCAATAGATCAAAGCGAAAATTAAGTACATGAGTCAATTTTATAAAATATTTTTTGTGAAAAGTACAG